GGCCACCGACAGGCTGTCCCCGGAGGAGCTCGAGAACGAGGGACCGGGACCGCGGAGCCAGCGCCGGCCGGAGAGCGCCCATCCCCGCCGCAGAGAGCGCGGCGCAATAAGTACCCCCGAATTTCCGGCAGGGCTAGACAGCAGCGCGTCCTCCGTCCAGTTAAAGGAAACGGCAAAGCGAAAGAGTGACCCCTTGGAGGCGTGTGCTAGGGACTGCGCAAGCTTTTCCTGGTCCCCTAATAGACACGATGTTAAGAAGAAAAAGTTAGAGGATGATAAAAGGAGATTAGATGCAGAAAAAGATTTTTCTGAATATTGTGAAAGTAACCACCAGTTCCTCAGTAACCAAAACACTTCTGAGAGCAAAAAAGATTTGTTTAGTTTAAACTGTGACCGTAGTAGTATAAAGTGTGACATAGCAGACTCTGAAAAGAATTTCACTGTAACGCTAAGAACTACAAATCGGGAGGAAGCAGGCACAAACCTGGACAGTTATGTACCTTCTAGGTTCGAAAAATCTCCAGGCTGGGACTGTAATATGAGACATATTTTGAAAAGAAATAAGCAAAGTTGTTGGGTTATGAAAAATTACAAGACTAACAGTGAAAGTATAAAAAGATCTAGAGAAAGACTGAATTTGCTACAATTACAAGCAATAGAACTTTTAGGCAAGGAAGATTATCACAGTATAAGAGCCGTGAGTGTGCACGAACAACAGTTAAAGCCTCTGATGATAGAAATGCTAGGTAACCAAAAATTTTTCATGAACATTGTTGGGCTGAATAGTAAAGGAGAAAATGATACTATGCTGCAGTTGAGATACCGCACTATACAAAAAGATTTTCGTGTAAGCAACATTTTTCAAAGTTTGATTACAGAAATTTTTTATTTCCATGAAAGTATTTCAGGAAAACAAAAGGATAATAGAATTTTAAGCTGGTGTCAAATTTTGAAGTGCAAAAATCAAATCGATACTAAAAATCTAATAACCAGGAGTATCTATGTCAACATAAAGAGTGGCATTTTAAGCAAATATATACAAAGCAGCGTTTCAGGACATTTAAATAGTTTCAAAACCAGCATAGCTTATATGTTCAATAACTTTGATGCTCTAGTCGGAATTGAAGATGATTCTGAATTAGAGGAGGGTTACATTTTCAAACGGATAGTGCACTTGAATTATTCAAAACTTATTACAGTGGAAGGTCGTACTATATATATAATGAGGACTTTAACTTTTTCAAAACGTTTAAAAGATATGAAACCTATGTTAAAGAAAAGAAAGCCTATATTTAAAACCCAACAAATTGTTGAAGGGTTTAAGAAAGAAAACTTTGATTCTTTTAGTGCAACAACTAAGAATCTATGTTTTTCAATTTTCAAAACATATGAAAAAATTCCTTTTTTAATGGACTTTGATGACATGGAAGAACTTTCTTTGATAAAAAAGTCTAGTTATGAGAATATGAGTTGTCTTGAACAACATACGAATGTAGACACCTGGGCTCACTGCAGCTTTAGTACTGTTAAAACACATGTGAAATCTGCGCCTCAGTTGACACAGAAAAACTATGGATGTATTAGTGCAAAATGTCATGAAATAAGTATGCACAACCAAAATTTAGGGACTGAAAGAAAACAGGATCCTAAGAAGGTCAGCAGCTTTAATTCTAAGCATACATTTGGAAGTTCTTTTAATGTTAGACAACAGGCTACCCTGGCAAGCCAAAACACAGTGCATAGTCTACAGATCAATAGTATGACTGTAAATCAAGTGCTGAATTTTGAGAGCTTGCAAAGTGAAATAGAAAGAACTAAATATGACTTCATTTTGAAGAAGGAAGTAAAAGTCACAGCACAGAGTTCAATACATAGTTACCAAGTTTGTATTAAAATAGAAAAGGAAGAAGATAGTTTTTTTCCAAAGGATGGCATGCTTTCTATGCAGTCAATTTCATTAAGGAGTAAGAAAGTAAGTACGAAAGAAACTAAATCCGTTAATCAAAGTAACACAGTGGAAAAAAATGAATACCGGAGTATTTTGCAAGAAAGTGAGTTAGCTAATTCAAAGCATTTTCATCCAAAGAATGATGCAACATTGTATGTTAATCATCAATTTGAAACTGGTTCAAATGAAGGGAACAATGAATATCTTCAGAATTTAACTGCAAAATGTTTATCAACAGAAGCTCTAACAATAGTAAAAGATTTTGAGATGAAGAGTAAATTTGATTTGGTACTTAAAGAGCTTCGTATGTTTCATGAAATTAGTAAGGAAAATGAAATTCCAACCACTGTGGAAACCAACACTGGGCAACAAAATTACTTTGAGGAAAGTAATGATGATGAGGAGGCCAAAATTGAGATAGAAAAAGATTTGAAACTGGTTACAGCCGACACAGACTGTGCATCTCCTTTGCCCTGTGATATAGTAGCACGTCCTAATATTGATAGAAGACACAAAGGTTTATTTAAGTGGAAAACAGTACCCAATAATGGAGAACAGGAAGTTCCCAATATGCATTGCTGTCCTAGAACAGCAGAGGAAGAAATATGCTACTTTACTTCTGAGCAAGGTATTCAATTAATTCTAAAATATTCTTTCTCATGATAAAATAATTACTGCTTTTTATGTGTAGGACAAATATATACTTTAAGCAAAAGAGGTAAAGCATAAGACAAATGTTTATTGATGTATACTTTTTTCTGTGAATGTTGTTTAAATGTTATATAATATGCTAAACTTGTAGGAAACAAATTAGTAATTTTTTAAGAGAAAGTTTGAAGAGTCTTTCTTCCCTTCACCAAATATTAGGAGACAACTGAAGGATGGATTTGTGAACAAAATAATTTGTTTATAATGCTAACATTTTTATATAAAAGGCACTTTTGCTAAAACGTATTATCTTTATTTTCAGATGGTAAAAATTCTTTACCTAAAAGATCTTCTCTATTGTCTGATGAATATATGGAAGAAAAATTTAATTATTTACCAAGGGGAGGTAAGATCTTTAGGTATTTTGTAAAATATCTTATAAGATTACTATTACATGTTTATATTTTTGGCATGATAAAAATATATTTATATTACTAGAAAATAAATGCAGTTTTCAAAACATTAATAATTTATTTACACAAATTCCAAAAGTTAGAAATTGGTTAAAAATTTAAATGCCATTTGTAATATTATTGGAAAGTATACTATGCAAAAACTATAGTCAAATATTTGCACAGGTCTATGGTAATAACTGTGTGCCAAGACAGGTGTTGTATATATGGCCAGTGCAAATATTTAATATACATAACCTTATTGCCAAAACCAAAGAAAAAAAGGGTTTTTCTCAGTTGGGTATCTACTGACATTAAGATGTCACTTCCAATTATACTTTGTACTTTTTATTATATAGAAAGGCTTGTAGTATGGATATTTTATTTTGTAAATTTTAAAAAAATTGCTATTATTTAGGCAAGTTAATGTGATTTGAGAGTGGCAATTATATTTTTGCTTACTATTAAATATAAAACTGAAGAAAAAGAACTTGATCTTATACTTTGCTTACAGTTCTACAATATCAGGATAAATCATGTGTGTCATTAGACATACTAATTGGTGGAACCAGTGCATGTAGGTAGAGATGAGGTTAAAATTAGGGAAATAGCTAAAGTTATAGTTGAGTCAGAAATTTCTTTTCTTTTCTTTTTTTTTGGTACGGGGAATGGAACTCAGGATCTGCACTTGCCAGGCAGGTGCTGTGCCATTAAGCTATATCCCCAGGCTCAGTCAGAAATTTCTGATGTATTACACCACAAATTAGATCTAAAAAAGTACATTGTAGGAAAAGTATATATGCTAAAACATCTGCAGTGGTACATCATTTCTTGAAATATTTCTCTTGGCTTATCATCATCAGTAGAATGCTGTCTTCAACACCTTTAATGTGCTGGGGATACAGCTCAGTGGCACAAGTGCCTGCCTTCACAAGCACAAGGTCCTGAGTTAGATTCCTGGTACAAAAAAAATAATTAAATTTTTAAAATACCTTTAATGTTACCTCAGAACTTTCTTTTCCTACTTTTCTTAGTTTATAATGAAATAATCTTAAAAACTGATGCTCTTGGAAGGCTACAGATAGTCTCTCCTCCAGTGAGCAAAGGAAATATTTAATGGATCAATATTTCATGAGTTTAAAAGGAAGGTTGAGAGAATTATCCTGGAAACCCAAGTGTGGTGGTGTACCCCTGTAATCCCAGAACTATGTAAGGCTGAGGCAGGAGGTTGGCAAATTTAAGCCAAGTCTGGGCAACTTGGTGATTTAGCAAGACCCTTTCTCAAAATAAAAACTAAAAAATGCTAGAGATGTATCTATCTGTAGAGTGCCTGCCCTGGGTTCAGTCCTGAGTGTGTGTGTGTGTGTGTGTGTGTAAGTGTGTGTGTGTGTGTGTGTGTTCAGAGAATTACCCTGAAAAGGATATGGTTTGCTTTTTCTGGCATGAAAAAAGGGAAGAAGGGGCTGGAGATTTAGCTCAGTGGCGCAGCGCCTGTCTGGCAAGCACAAGGTCCTGAGTTTGATTCCCAGTACCAAAAAAAAAAAAAAAAAAAAAGAGAGAAAAGGGAAGAAATTAGATTTAGAAACATGCCTTGATATCGAAGTAGATTATGGAGTACATACCCCTGTTGTCCTTGTGATTATAACTGAGTTAATGAAGTGAATATACGAAACAAAGTGCAAGTACAAATTGGAAAAGAAATGATATCACATAATAATGTGACTCTACCCTCACAAGATAAAGTGACCAATCCTGAAGTAAGAAAAATAATGTGTAAGGTCAGCTAGAATTGTGTATTACATTGTTAGATTTACTTTCAAGGTACTTGAAAATGGAATGATCTTTTCAGTGTTTACTGAGGTCCACAGTGTAAGGGAGAAGTTGGCAGATACTGGGATGCAGGATTAGTGAGAGCAGGCAGTGCGCTCCATGTAGGTGAAGTGCGTGCCTTCAACACTGATTTTATAGGCCTCAGAAAGGTCCTAGCTGTCTTGCAGAGTTTTAATATGTCCCCACCTGTCATCATGATGCCAATTCTTGTAATTAAAGTTTCCACCACTGTTTTTAGTGCATCCTCACTCTGTCTCCATTTTTCTCCTCTCTCTTTCTCTGTGGCACAGAGAAAGGTATTTTTAAATTATTTTGAACAGAAGTTATATGTTTGTCATCTAGTTCCCCTGGTGTTTAATGTATCATTTAGACCAGTGCTTCCCTAACTGTAATATATTCATTAATCACGTGAGGATACTGTTAAGGGGCTCTTTCAATGATGGGATTCTACAGTTAGCTCAGCCCAGCAGATGTAGATGTGGCAAGTCTGTGGATCACACGGTGAGTTGCAAGAAAAAAAAACCATTTAGAAAACAATTGAGTTGCATCATTTCATACAATCGAGTTAAAATTTCATGTCGTTTTGTTTAATATTGACTTTTATAAAATGACTAATTTCTGGTAGCATACTTTAATGTTTAGATTTGTTAAACAATATAAAATGATGGATTAATGCAGTGCATAACGATAATAAAGGATCATAATTTAACAAAGGAGACAAAGGGGTACATTCTCACAACTATAATTTAATGACTAAAGTCATATATTTTGTAAAAGATTGGTTATTGATGGAAGTTAGTTCCATGATCTCCCATTCATTAAAAATGTACCAGAAGTATCTATCATATTTGACATAAAGAAAACCATATTTTGAAAAAGTAATCAAATACTGTAGACTAAAGTTCCTAGCTTATTTCTGAAATAATCATACAGTAAAGAGGTATGCCTAGCATATGTTGCTGAAATTGTCTAATTTATAACCAAGTCTAGAATATCAGATAATATCTGAAAATTTTGTCTTATTTGGCAACCTCTTTTTGTTTAAAAAAGGTAGCAATGAAATGGCATTTTCCTCTTACTTTTTATAATTAAATTTATAATTTTAATGTTGAGTCAAAAACAAAACATTTATAGCTATCTTGATGGTGTTAAATTGCTTTTCTCCTTATTTACATGTAGCTCAATTTTGTATTCTGTTTCATTAATGTTTACAAAGATACATAGATTCTGTTGTATTTCATTAACAATAACAAATACATTTGCCTGTCTAGCTAACTGATTTAATAAGAAATATAATGCCATAAAATAATTTGAGCTTCTTTGACCATAATATATTGTGAAGTTAAGTAAATACTTCAAAATCAGATCTATTACTATATAAAAGGTAATACATTTGAATTCTGTTATTGATATTAATCTCAAAGCCCAAACATAACCATTAACCAACAATATGACATTTAGTTTCTAATTGAAAAATGATATCAATTTGGCTTTAAAACCTATTTAGTTTTGTTGTTGTTGTTGTTAAGTCAGATTACCTGACTGGAATGCTAATTTAATATAGTTGTTATTTTGCATTGATCAAGTGACTTAACCTCTCTGTGCTTAGGTTTTTACATTTTAAAACTGGATACGGGATTAAGTTAAAATAATGCATTTAAAGTGTCTGGCACATAAATCAAAAATGTTCTGTAAATACTCAGTAAATATTGCTAGTATTATGATAAGCAAAGAGTTTTTAGAATACTGGTTATTTTACTCATTTAGATAACTTTCATTGTCTGTTTTTAGGTAGTCATTTTTCACATGGCATTTCAAGAATCCAGCCTCTTAAGACGTGCAGCCGACCAATCAGGATTGGTTTGTCAAGGAAAGCAAGATTTAAGCAACTCCATCCCTACCTGAAATAAATGTGTTATGAGAGTTTAAAAGAAGATTTTGGACTTTTGAAATAATATCCAGAAATATTTTATGTCTTTCTTTGGATAAATGCTTTCTTTCAGTTTGGGGGGACTTTTCAGTTTGCAGCTTTCTTTGTTATAAAATGTGGAAAGGTTATTTCGTGTCTGAAATATTACCTTTAAAAGTTAGGAAATACTTTATTAATATTTTCATATATAATCAGTGTGTATTAATGTCTTCATGATCTTATAAAATGTGTTTATTTTTATGATGCATGCATATGATCTTTCTGTGGAGATGACTGATAACTTTTACAGATTTTTCAAGGGACTCATGGCTCAGAAGAAAGTAATGAGCTACTGTTGGAATCCAGTCTCTCCATTTTTCAGGTGAACAGGGAGAAGTGAGGTTTTTCCAAGTGAGCTTCCCAGGTCACAGGGTTGACGTAGGATTGGGGTGGAGGTGCTTTTGTCTGAAGAATCTTCTCTAATCTTTCTCATTCCATGTTTTCCATTCTCCCTCTTGGTACTGGACACTGAATCCAGGGCCCTCACACAGAGAGCTACATCTCAGGCCTTAATTCTTTTTTATT